TCCTTCTCGACATCAGTTAAACCCTGAGCATGTGGGCAAGACTCACCAGCCAGCACCCAGGAAAGAATTCTCTGTAGGAACTCAGATCCCACCCTCTAACATCTCGTCACAGGCCATTGGGCAAGATCTGACAACTCCAACTTAATTTACACTTTCAAAACCCCACCCGTCACTTGTAAGCAAATGATCCCACCACGGCAAACACGCAGAGCTAATGCAAGACAGTTATGAACCAAAGGTTTGCAAATATCCAGCCAGATCCCCACTGACACCAACAAACTCAAGCACCCAGTAAACGAGTGGGAGGTGAGCGCTCTTTGTTAAACTGCCAGCCACTCCATTTCCTTTCCAGGAGTGGTTTCAAGCGACACCTTGGAGACCTCCAAGCAGCCCTCCAGCAGAAACCAAACCAGCGTTGACATTCCAATGGGTTAAAAAAAAATCTTTTCAGTCTCTTTTTTCCATCAAAGGAGCTAAAAAAGGAAGCTTCTCCTCGAGTTACTTTTAATATAAGGAACATGACTAATTAAGTAGGGCTGTATCTTTGCATTATGTATGCACGGTCCTTTCTTGCAGATCTGGGGATGCACTTATTACAGTTCACATTTTATAAGGGGCCCAATTCTCGTTTCATTTACATCAGTGCTAGGGCAAGGTGAGGGAGGCATGAATCAGCCCCACTGACTCCCGTGGAGTTATTCCTGATTTATGCTTGTTCAATGGCACTGGTTTCAATGGGGGTCACTCCAGATTCACACCGCTTTGAGGGAGCGGGGAATCAGGCCTGTAAAGCTACAGCCTAGACTTGAGCTATCTTTGGTGGCCCGTAGTAATACCTATGTACACGTACCAGCTGATGCTCCAGATTGGCAGGGGACCATTTGATAAGAAGTCTGGGGTGGGGGGGAATGAAGGTGGCAGGAAAGCCATCTGGATGCTAAGCTAGTCCATGGCACAGATATACACTGATTGTTAACAGCAGCTGGGGATCCCAGGCCCTACCACACCCCCTTCTCAGCCATGCCCCAGTACCATTGGCCACATGCCCTGTGTTGGTTGCTGGGAGGAGCGTGGGTAGTTGTACACCAGCCGAGGAGTCAGGAGGCATGCTCCCGTGGCCCAGTGAGGCTGCCTAATGACTCATGTCTCAGTCAGTGGAGTCTTTGACAATATTTGACCCTTAAATGAAGCGCGTACACATCTGGTATTAGGCAACAGGTATAAATAACTCCCCTGATGTCAAACCTCCCCCCGTCCCTGAGAGGCTGGAGAGCTGGGAGCTCTGTTGGGTGACCCTCTTGTTTCACTCCGCCTTGGCCACTTTGTACTTCCTCTTCACGCGGGCAAAGGGCCCCAGCGAGTCACAGAAGATGAAGTCCCAGAGGACGCAGACCCAGGAGGTGTGGTAGGGCAAATGGTCGTAGTACTCAGCAGCAATCTTCTTCACCTGGAAGCAGAGACACACGGGGGTCTGACCGTGAACACAAATCTCTGCCCTGGGACTTTTAGATGGAAATGCACAACTGCCCAGCATTCTGTGGTGTCACCTTCATGGCATATGCATGGAGAAGTTAGATAAAAACATAAATACTCTGGCTGGAAGGTTGCACTCTAACACGGCTTTATTTCTGAGAATCCAAAACACACCAAAAAAACCCACCCCAAAACAGAGAGAGACAAAACAGGCTGCTCCCTGAAAACAGTGAGGCATAAGTCACCTCAGCCTTGCTCTGATCACACGCTTCCCTTCAGAACCCCATAGCCTGCAAGCAGGGATGGGAAAACCCCTTAAAATCACAAGCTATACATTTAAGTGTTAGTTTACAATACACCACATATGGCTGGGTTAAACCTATAAATCTTAAAGCTGCTGGGTGCAACCACCACCCTTCTTTTAAGAGATATTAGAAGCAGTTAAGTATCAGGGGTAGCCGTGTTAGTCTGTATCTACAAAAACAACAAGGAGTCTGGTGGCACCTTAAAGACTAACAGATTTATTTGGGCATAAGCTTTCGTG